TTTTGCCTAAGCAGCCCCTTCTAGTTCAGCAGCCTCCCAAAAGACAAGTTGTATTTGTACGTGTTTGTTCAGAGCTGTGTTAATCCATTTAAGTAGACCCCAGCGGCATGGGAAAGAGGCATGAGAAATTTCCTTGTGCTCTCACGTCCGAGGGCTGGCCCAGAAGAACTCCTCTTTGGCCGATCACCTTTGCGTTCATGAATTTACCGGCAGTCGCCAACAGTTGCCCCAGAACGGTTTCTTCTCCCTAACTTGCCCTCTTTCAGCTGGGCGTGGAAAATAATCCTCCCTGTTATAAGTGGTCATTGAGTCTCGGTGCAGAGGCACTGCTAGCTGTCCTGTGTCCATCCTGTGGATCAGTGGGCTTCCCCTCTGCGTTGCGCGGTCAATCCACTACCGCTCCCAGCTACTCTACAGAGAGGAGAGAAACGGGGAGTCGTGAAATGAGCGTTCACTTGTCATGTAGGCGGTGATAGTGGTTGCTCTTGCCTGCCTCTTGCCTGAGCCTTGTTGGCAACGTGACTGGCCCACAGTAATCTTAAAGGCAGTCTACCTAGGTAGTCGTCATTCTTAGGGCAGGACTATGCTCCTGCTTATGTCGATCTAACTTGTCACTCAGGGATGGATGCAAGTTACAGTGACACCACACCAGTGATATGTCAGCGGGAGGTGGTCTCCTCTTGGCACAGAGCAGGGGTGAGCAATAATTTTTGGTGAGATGGCCACTCCAAGATTTTGGGAAGTGGTCAAGGGCTGCACTTCTCTGTGGAGGAGGTGTGGGGTCTAGGATGGAGGCTGGGTGCAGAAGGGCGCACGGGGGAAAGGACTGGGGTGCAGGAGACTGTATGAGGTCTTGAGGGTATTTGGGTGAAGGAGGGGATTGTGACCTGGGGCAGGGGTTTGGGGTGTAGGGGCAGGGAGGGGGTGTGGGTGTAGGAGAGGATTCTGGTCTGGGGGAGGGGAGTAGGAGGAGGTTCAGGGTCTGGGAGGGAGTTGTCACCTGGGGCAGTGGGGTACAGAGAGTTTGGATGGTGACCTGGGGTAGGTGGTTGGGGTGCCAGAGGGCAAGGACAGGGCTTACCCAAGTGTCTCCCGTCCAGCAGCCCTGCAGCACTCCCAAGGCAGGCTGGGCTCCCTACCTGCTGCAGCCCCAGATGCTTAAAACTGCAGGCTACTCCCTCCATGTGGCTTTCAGCTCTGGGAGAGGTTTGCGCCGCGCCTGTCCTCCAGGCCAATCTCTCTGCTCCCATTGGCTGGTGGTTGCTGGTCAACAGGAGCTGAGAGACTGGCTGGGGGGAAATTCCATTTGGCG